AGGGCCCTGCACCCGGAGACCTGGCTGCCAGGTTTTTGAGGTGCATCAGAGGGGTAGTACCAAGCAACCCCGACTCCAGACTCAGGTGGGGCCCTTCTCACCTCAGCCTCTCCCTCCTGCCCCCACGAGGACCTCCCACCTGCTCCTGTCCCACTCATCTTCTCCCAAGGACTGCTAGTCACTCTGGTGATGCCCTGCCCCAGGGCATTTGCATTGTGAAAGTGGCCTGCTAGGAGAGGAATGGAGACCCCACAAGCTAATGATGTGATTCCTGGAGTCAGTGGGGGAAATGTTTCTGGAGGGGGAGTCCTCCCAGCGCTCCACAAATCATCCCACACTGGGCAGCACCGGTGTCCCCCCCCAGGTAAAGTGGGCTTCATTTATTCTTTCCATCAAGAGATAGTTACCTGTGCCCACCTTGTGCCAGGCACTGCGTCAGGTGCCGGGGGAACACCACTGAATTTGGTAGAGAATGAACCCGCCCTAAGGACACCTGCAGTCCAGTAGGGAGGTGGCAAACCTCCCCTAGAGTGTTCTCTGCACTCCTATCGGTTCATCTCCTGGCCACCCTCCTCCTCCCAGAGTCCCTCTGCTGGCTGCAGTGGCCCTAGGGGTGTCTGTTGATCACACAAGTTGGCAGGCCATGCCAGCTGGAGCAGCAGGTGCTCCTACCCAGCAGGGAGCCTGACCCCATGCCCCGGAGCACCAGCTGCCAGGCCACGAGTGGATGTGGCAGCTCAGATGAAAGGAGGAAATCTCCCCTGTGGCTTCTGTGCTCCAGCCTTGCTTCCAGCCAAAGGCCTTCTTGTCATTGAAGCAGCTTCTCTTCCAAACGCTCTCATTTCTGGGCGTAATAGGCATGCAAGCGCTGCTCTGCCCAGGGCAGAGCCCCCCAGCCAGGAGCCTCCCACCCAGTGGCTGAAAGGCCATTGATATTGCTCCTTCATCTCTCCTTGAATGCTCCTCCATTTTTCTTTCTTCTTACCAAAATCCTACCTCTCCTTCCCAACCAGGTCCTCCCACTGCCACAGAGCCTATGTTCACCCCCAAAGATACGGGACTCCACTTCTGTATGCCTCCACCCCCTACTTATAAAATGGGTGCCTCGCCCTGCAGCCTTGTGGAGCCGTCAGGAGGTAAAATGAGAGGGTGGATGACGCCAGAGCTCTGTGTGTGCCTGGCATCGTTCTAGGAGCTGTGCGTTTATTCACTCCCTTAGTCTTCACCACAAGCCTCTGAGAAACATATTATTATTATCTTCATTTTACAGACGTGGAAACAGATGCACAGAGCAGCTGCCCAAAGACACAGCTGGCAAGTAACAGAACCAGAATTTGAACCCAGGTAGTCAGTTTACAGTCTGTGTGCCCACTGAACTGCCCCCAAGCAGTTTGTGCAAACTCCAGGACATTCTTATTCTCCTAGCCACTGCTGCCCTTCAGGCACGCCTTCACTCCAGCCCCGCCCAGCCCTCTCTGACCAGACGCCTGAAAGCCCTGGCTGAACCTGCCCTGGGGTGCAGGTCACAGGATCACTTAAGCCAGCTCTGGGACTCCAGCTCCCCAGCGAAGCCCTCAGAACACAGTGCTCTCCCATCCACTCCCCTCCCAAACACACCAACTACCTCTGGCTCCGGGATTCAGGAGCCGGTGTCAAGAGGGCTCCCGATGTGGGAGGGAGGCAAGGAGGAGAGAGGCAGGCCTAGCCAGAGCCTGGAGATGGATGGGCCCTGCTCCATGCTGGCCAGCATCAGATCAGCCTGGGAGCTGAGGATTGGAGCAGGGCAGTGATGGACAGCTGCCTGCCAGGGGGAAGCCAGCCCGATGGCTGATCGGATCAGATACCCCTCCCAGACCCCCATTCCTCTACCTCCCCCTCCCAGCTCACTGACCTCCCCCCTTGCTTCCCAGCCCCTCCCTTCCTGAGGCCTCCAGCTGCCCAGTTGATTTTATAAATGGCCCTTGCAGGAGGTAGGCACCTTGGCTAATTGAATCAGCGCCCATGAGGCAAGAGGCGGAAGGCTGGTTAGCATCACGGCTGAAAGGTGGTGGCAGCAACAGCTTGAGTGCAGCCATCAGGGAGGAATCTGAGTGAGCAGAGAGGCCAGGCAATCTGGGCCTTATTATATTCTGACGCTCTACAGAGGGAACTCACCAGGGGGCCCTGGCCACCCCGCCATAAGCCTGGGAGCAGCTTATAAGGGTGGACCACAGGCCAACACACACACATACACACATACACACACTCATATGCTCTGGAAAAGGAGAATACAAAGGGAGGCAAGAGAGAGGAGAGAAGCAGCAGGAAAGAATGAAATAGTGTGCTGCGTGTGCACCACTCAGTCATATGAACTATGCGCACATCTCCATGCTGGCCACCATCATAACGTCGCTCTCACCCGCCTTGATGTCACCTCTCCATAATAATTAGCAAATAACAGCAGTTCTAAGTGTCCTGGTCACAGCAGAGCATGTTGTGGTGTCAACAGCTGCCAAGTAGCAGACCCTGGAGCCGAAAGACCCCTTTTTGGTGGAACTGTCACTTGAGCTTACAACTGCCCTGTCCCCTTTGAGACCAGTCTGTTTCCTTACCTATGAATTTGCCTCTTGACAGGCAGGGTGGCATAGAAACACTTCAAAGGGAGCTTTGCCTCTGTTTCTGTTTGAGGAGCTTGATCTCAAGACTCACATCTTCGTGAATCCATTCAGTAAACATCTACATGCATGTGAGCTCCATGAGGTGGGGACAGGTCTGTGTCATTCCTCCTGGCCCCCAGCTCTGGTGGGGCTGGTATACCATGTGAACCAAGGAACGATGCACATGTTGCAGGTGATGGTGTGGTTGAGGCTGGCTGCGCTGGCACTGGCTGACAGTTCTGTGCAGGATGACCCACGCGCCCGGTCATGTCTTCTTGAGGGACTCTGATAGCATGGTCAGCATCCTCGACAACTGTCTCAAGGACTTTCATTACCCCTCCCCACTTCCCCAAATGTTCCACTTCCCCTCCCCACTAGCCCTCACCCCACCTTTCCCTAAGGCCCCAATCTACCACTTCCACTTTCCAGCAAACTTAACATCAGAACCAAGAACTTAGAAGTCCCTGGATCTCCAGCGGGAGGAGAGAAGGGAGGAGAGGAGCAATTTTCAGCTTAGGGTCCACAGATCTCCCAGCGGGCTTCTGGGGATCCGAAGGGACAAGCTCTGAAATGCACGTTCCTCAAATTATCCTCCATTCTTTTGGATTGTAAGCATTTCAGTTGCCTTCTTCAGGGCCAAGCCCCCAAGCCCGGCAGTGGCGAAGCCCCCAGTGGCCTTTTCCACAGCCTAACACTGCCCCCTGCTGGGCTGGGCTGGGACGTCCACCTCAGGCGCTGCTGACAGAAATCAGAAATGTGGCATCTTGGCCTAAGAGTCCCCCAGCTGCCACCCCTCGCCTGGAGAGGGGAAGGATTGAAACCTCAGAGGCCTTAGGCCTTCCTGCCTCCAGTGTATTTTGGGGCTGGGACTGATGGTGGCAGCAAGGGCAGCCCTATGGCCCAGACAAAAGAGGCAGTGTTCCTAGAAGCCCTCCCACCCCCTCTAGCCTGCTCCCTCGTCGCCTCAAACTCCGTTAATAAGGGTAAAGGCACTGTACAAGATAGAAGCTCCATCACAGCACAGATTGTGCATCGATAGGCCTTACCTCGTCCCCTCCCTCGCGAGCTCCAGAGGGCCTTTCCGGCGGCTTTTAGGACTCCTCTGGCTGGCCAGAGCAAAGCCATCTTCATTTCGACACGTCAGGAACTCAGCTCACCCTCTTCCCCAAAGCTGAGTCTCTCTAGAAACCCTGTTTCTCTCTGTTCCACATCCAGTACAACTCCAAGATCTGCAGGCCCTATCTCTACAAGGTCTCTTCTGAACACCCCCTTCCAACTGGGCCCCTGACCCGCCCTTTCCCCGTCCCTTTCCACAGTGCTGTCGGGGTTGTTGCCCTAATGCTCAGCTCTTAGGGACTCTCCTCTCAAAAGCCTTGCTGCTCCTTCTCTTCTGATTAGGTACAAATTCCTCCACACCATGGTTGGAATCTGCCTTCCCAACAAGGCTCCCCACGTTCCTTCCACTTTGAACGCAGAGCTCTTGCCTGAGCACGACACCCTCCCCCACACCTCCACTCACACACTGTCTTCCTCCCAGACGTTCTCTTCACACCCCCTTAGTCTTCAGGAATTCCTCCCCACCCTTGAAGGTCCACCTTAAAAGCCACCTTCAGTATGAAGCCTTTCTCTGGCCCCCGGTGAACAATTATCTCCTCTGAACTCCAGCATCCTGATTCACCTCTGGTGGCACTTCTGTCCCCTTCTCGTGGTAGACATCGGTGCCCTCGTCTCAGCCCCTTCTGGCTGGGGCATCTGGAGCCTTGAGAACAGCACTCTGTAGTATCAGCCGAACTGGCTGATAGCAGAGATGTGTTGATGTACCTTCCCATGAAAGCAGGTTTTGATGAGAGGAGAGAGCACAGGGCACAGAGCCTGGCCTGGGGGAAACAGACACAAGGGCCTACGGAGGGTTACAGAGCCGGAAGCATTATCAGAGCCCACATAGTGGAACTCCCTCGTACAGAGAGGGCAAGTCTCAGGGAAGGCAAGGGACTGAGTGGGATTGGTCCCATTTCTAGGGCACTGGAGGTTCAGTTACTGCCAACTCTTTCCTCTCTTCCAGTCCAGCATTTCACACACACACACACACACACACGGCTGCCCTACTATTTTTCTGGAGTTGACCCTACACTAACAAAGGGTTAGAGACACTTGAACATCTTTCCTGGGGTGTCCTGACTTCCACAGACCTCCAACTCTGTGGACAGATGCTTGGGACCCAGCCTAGGCCCAGATAGGACCTTGCTGCTGGGAGAGGAGGTGTCAGCATTGTCAGTGGTCTGAGGCGGTGTCAGCTGGAGTGTTCACCCTCAGCAGGGCTGTAGCTGTCCATCCCCACCCCCACAGCACTCACACCACACAAGAATATTTCAGAAATGTTTAATGCCACAGAGAAGTCCCAAACCTGCAGAAAGCTGCAGCCCGTCTCCTGGGTGCCAGGAGCCAGGGCTGTCCCCTTCAGGGGACGTCATGGGGCAGGAGGCCTGCAGGAGCCAGGGAACCAGGGTGCTCTGCTGACTTCCTTTTGTCCTGGGCTCTCAACGCCCAAGGTTCCCTTTTGGCCGAGGAAAGAAAGAAGAGGAAGTGGAAAAGGAGCAGGAGGAGGGTGGGTCTCCTGGGGCACTCTTCCTGCTTTGGGATGGTGACTCATGCAGCAGGCTTGGGAGGGGCAGTTCCTCGACCCCACATGAGGGCAAACCAAGCCTAGGGTTCCAGAAGGGGCAAAGGGAGGTTCGTGGCATGCAGCGGCAGGAGGGGTCACCAGCAGAAACCAGATGGGAGACCTGCCTTCCCGCTCCCACTCCTCTCACCAGCCTTTAACTCCCTCCCCGTGTGTACTGGACCACCTCTGCAGTGGCATTTGATGAGGTCCACATCTCTTCAGTGCCCCCCCACCATCACTTTGGGCCTTTCTTAAGTATGACATTGTCATACTCGGTTCCCTGTGGCCAGCCAGAGGAAGAAAAGTCCTGCCCCGCTGGGTAGACATGCTTGAGGCCACTGGGGTCCCCATCAGCTTGGGCCTGCCTCCTCCAGGCCTTACCCCGGGGCTCCCTCGGGCTGTCATACAGGGACAGGGCAGCCACTCCCTCAGGCTCATCATATATGTGGTCGGGTTGCGGGGGTGGGTGCTCCTCAATGCTGTCGTACAGAGGGTCAACGGGGGGCTGGGGAGGAACCGCCAGGATGCCCCTCAAGCTCTTCCCCAGGTTACGGGCCACTGCATCGAAGGGCACTGCGTATTCCCCCTCCGGGCCCCGCGGCTGGGGCGCTGGCAGTGGGACGGTGGGCGATGGTGGTGGCAGTGAGTCATGGGGCCGGGAGTAGGGGCTCTCCGGTCGGGGCAGCACCATAGGGACTGTGGTTGGCTGCGTTTGGAGCCCAGGAGGGGCAGCATTCTTCTGGGCAGAGATGGCCTCTTCCAGGGCCAAGAAGATCTCATTGCCTTGCCGGGTTTCGAACTCAAAGTTGCCCTCTCCTGAGCTGCAGCGCCGGCCTGCCTCAAAGGAAAAGGTAACCTGTGTGGAGGAGGAAAGGGAGATGTTGGCCAGGCCAGAGGGCGGGGTGGCTTCTCCCGGAGCCAGCTCCCAACCACAAACCTATCAACTCCAGCTTCCCTCCACTGGGAACCCATTTCCCCTCCCTCCCTCCATGTTTCTTCCTTACAAGCAAAGTTCTCTCTCATCTCCCTTCTCTCCCTTCATTCTCACTCCCATCCATTCAAGTTCGGAGCTTGGCACATAGTCCGTCCTCAACAACGTCAGCTGCTCTTTACCCCTCTATCTTCTCTCTACCTTTATCTCCTCCTTCCTCACCTCCACTTCCGTTTCTCTCCCCTTCTCACATGCTCTCACTCTCCTTCCCCTGGGCCTCTCTCCATCCCCTTGGCTGGCTGCTTTCCCTCCTCCTTCCATTCTCTCTTCCTTTGGGGTCCCCCTTGCCCTGACAATCTCTTTTCTCTCATAACTCTTCCTTTCTCTCAACCTGCCCCACTGCGGCCCCTGCTCACTTTGTCACGCCCGAAGCGCCGCAGGAATCTGTAGGGCCAGTCATACAGCTGGGTGCCGGGCTCAGGGCCGCCCCACAGCTCCAGGGCACTCTCCCCAGCACGGAGAGTATAGGATCCCCGAAGCCGGCACCTCTCGCTTGCTTCTGTGGGTCTCATGGTCACAGCAAACTCCTTGCGGGGGGCCACTGGGGTGGAGAGGGGAGAGGAGGAGAAGGTAGTCAATGGGAAACGGCTGGCCTGCGTCAACTACCCTGCTCTAAATGAGTGTGCAGAAGTCTCTAGAATTCTGCATGCCATGCTTGTGCCCATGACCCTGCAGCCTTCATCTTGAAGGCTGAGCTTCTCTGTGTTGGGTTATACTCCCAAAAATGCCAAGTACCTCCACCCCCTACCCTAGTAGGCATCATGCCCTAGCCACATGCACCCCAACCCCATGCCCACATCCTTCCTGCCTCTGTTGCCAGAGCCACAGCCTTTTCTTCTCCATCTCATCTCTCACCCCAACCAGACGCCTCCCAATCCCTGTCACAGCTGCAGGTGCGCTGACCCTGCCTCCCAGCTCACAGCCTCCCCTCCCACTCTGATGCTGTCTGTTGCCCTCCACACCAGAGGTGGAGCTTAGATGTCCCTCTGTGTCCACCTGCTACACACACACACACACACACACACGCACACCCACGCACGCACCCAGAGGGCTAGACAGATTGCAAGAGGGGGATGCCTTGTCAGCAAAAAGCTCCTTTGCCACAGGACACCTTAAATCGACAGAAAGAAAACCACTCTTTTTTCAGACAATTACTCAGGTCCCAACAAGGGAGAGTTCAGGAGCAGCACCTTCGCCCGGACCCCACAGCCTCACCCTCTCCCACCAGCAGGGCCAGGGCAAGAGGGAGTGAGCCAAGGGTGAAGGACTGACACTCAAGGCAGGCCAGGCTCCCCTACCTTGGGCCGTGCCCGGAAGTGATGCAGAGCGGCTGATAAGGCGGCTGGCCAAGGCTGGGGGCAACCGCAAGGCAGGAAGACTCGGCCAGCAGCTGGCTGGCCCACACCTCGTCCCCACCACGCCCTGGGGAGAGCACACCGGCAGAACAGGCAGCCCCCCTCACCTGTGGTCGCGCTGCTGTACAATTCGTTCTCCTCCATGCAGGGCTGGCTGCCCTTCCCCTCTGGCCCCGACAGCTCCTTCCTCTGGCCCTGAGGAAGAGGCCCCGCTCTCAGCACTGTCACCAATCCCAAGCCCCACCTCTGGCCCAGGGTTTCTTTCAGGGCACACTCAGCCTGCGTCCCCTGTCTGCATTCTGGATTGGGATCCCCCCACCAGCGAACCACGCCCAGCATCCAGACCTTGGCTCTTATAACACCTGCCCACAGGAAGTATCTAGTGCCCCCACTCCCCCACCCCCCCCTCGCCCTTTCTGCACCCGAGGATGACTCACAGGGAAGGCCAGGAGGCAGATGGCCTGCATCCATTCGCCACGCTCTGCAGCAGGGGCTGCCAGCAGGTACAGGCGCTCCTTGGTCTCCAGGAAGAAGGCGCTGGTGTCCCGGGGGCTGCTGGCCTCCCCACCAGCCTCGGCCACCCGCAGGCAGTCACTGAGGCGGATCACCCTCCGGGCGGCCTCTCCCCGGCGTAGCTTCTCCGAGCCTTCCTGGAGCTCCAGCCGGGCCAAAGCGCAGCCCGACCCTCCATACAGCACAGCCCCGAACCGGCGCCACTTCTGAGCCCAGGTGTACGGCAGACAGGGTGCCGAGAGGCAGCCGCCCAGAGATCGGGACACGGGGAGCAAAGGGGAGAGCAGGGACCATGAGAGAGGGACTGCGGCAGCAACCCGGGGGTGGAGAAAGAGGTAAAGATCACAGGAGACCCAAGGAGGCAGACAGAATAATTAGAAATAACTGAGGTCAGCTGCAGGCAACCCAGCCCGAGGCCGCGCTGACAGCACAGAGCTTGCCAACGGCAGAAGAGGAGGCCTGACCAGGCCCCACAGAAGCCAGCCTGACTCACGAGACAGAAGAGGAGAGGCCAAGAGCCTGAGCCCCTGCAGCCCAGCGGAGGGCTGAGGAGGGCAGCGGGGGGCCCAGCTGGAGACCCTCACTCTTGTTCTGTGTGTGGGCCCACAGAAGGCCCTGTCTCCAGGAGCTTCGGTCGACCTTCCTGAACCTTCCGCCTCACCCCTTGACAGGTTGGGCCATGAGAGAAAGGGAGAGAGGAGCGCTGGTCCGGGCCAGCTGAGGGAAGGGGGACTTCCTCATTCAGAGGCTGAGGAGGAAGAGGAGTTTGGACACGCTGGGGCCCTGGCTCCAGGAGACTCCAGCTCAAGTTTAACACCAGGCTGACGCACCCCACCAGGGCAGGAGAGGAGAAGGAACCTCCACCACAACCCCAAATTGTCCCCTCCACTGCTCCTTCCATTCCCTTCCAGGGCATCCCATGAGAAGAAGTTACCGCAGAGCAAGAGAGGCAAGAGACAGGCCCCCTCCCAGGGGAAGAGCTGTCAGCACAGGGCACAGTGTGGGGCCTGCCCGGCAGGCCCAGGCCCATGGCTGCTACGCAAAGAGCCCTCCCAAGCCAGAGCTCTGGGTCTAACCTGATGGATGACCCAACGCCCGCCATCCCATAAGAGTTTTGAAACATGCGGGGGACACTCCTCTCCTCCTCCTCAGGAATTTCCCGCAGCCCCAGCCCCTTGGCCCAGCCCTGCGCAGCCCCGCTCTTCCTACCTTTCCGAAGGTCTGTTGCTGCTGGAGGAACAGGCAGCCCTGCTTCACGGCCGCCTCTCCCATCCTCTCACCATCGCGGCCCACACCGCAGCTCTCTCCTGCCCCTCCTGCCCTCCTTCTCTCCTCTCTGCCGTGTGTTCCCCCTTCTCTCAAGTTCATTTCCTCTCTGCCCAGAGTTTTCTGCACTATTCTAGTCTGCTTGATGACGACAGGCCGATAGGCCCTGTGGTTTCTTGCTCTGTGTGTGTGTGTGTGTGTGTGTGTGTGTTTGATGAGTGAGTTTCACACTCAAGCTTCCTGCATTTTCAGTGAGTAAGAGATAATTTACAAAAAGGCAAATTCCAGCTCCTCAGTGAGAAACAATTCAGGTCAGAAGCTGGCTAAGGAGTCACCTACAAAGAATGGCTGAGCCACAGGAACAAAGAGACCCAGTAACCAAATTCAACAGTAAAACCAATAGCAAAAGGCCCCCATGCTCACACTGGATGCTTAGCATGACACAGCTGGAAGAGAACTTAAAAATCAACCAGCTCAGCTCCCTAATTTAAAAATGAAGAGACTGAGGCTCAGAAAGGTCTGAGGAACATATTCAAAGCCACCAAACTCGAACCTAGGTCTCTCAGCTCAGTAAGAGTTGAGCCACACACACTGGCCCAGCACACAGGACACAGCAGACAGAGCTCACCACTTTCACACACACTGCTGCAACTGTTCCGCTGGCAGGAGCACGCCCTGCCCCTGACGACAACAGACACTTACATCACCTCCTTGAGATTCTAGAAACACGAACATCCTCACACTAAACATGCTATGCTCCTAGAACACATTTAAACCTTTGGGGTTCTCCTCCTTTGCAGCCCTGTGAGCATTATAAAGACACTTGAGTCTCATCTGGAGATTATCTTTTCAATAGCAATCTCTTATATTTGAAAAAAAAGTTTCATAGTTACCAAAACAAAAGTGCTTCATAGTGATCAGAGTTTCCAGGCACACATTGTCACCAGCCACACCATCTATCTCTGGAAGAAAGAAGGGCAGGTATGAATGCACCTGGCTGCCACTCCCCTGAGGCTGAAGGGCTGGTAGGGGCAAAGGGGGAAGTACCAGGGCTCCTTATCTTCAATTCAACAGTCTTTGTGTTGTTGGCACCTAAGTGGAATCCAGACTCCATGCGAGAAGACCCATTGATTTGGGGAAATCTAGGCTCCTCAGAGAATAGGGAACTTAAAGCCAGAAGGTTTAGAGAAGAACTGAGAGAATCTGATGGAGGCATGGTGCAGAATGTTGGGGGAACCAGAGAATCAGACCAGCACTCTCGGGGTAACCCCACAATGGGTGCTTATGTAACCGGGCAATTTCCTCCACCACCGGGCTTTGGGTGTCTTGGGAAGGAGAGCAGAGCAGTGCATCAATCAGCCTTTCTGCTGTACATGCCCTGTGCTTTACCAACACAACTTTAAAAGATGAATGTTACGAGCCCTGGGAGGAGAAGGCTGAGTCACGGCCCTCAGCCCTGCTGCCTGGATCGGAACAAGATGATCCAGAGACGAAGGGAAAACCAAGGATGCTGGTGTGGGAAAAACTCCTTGGGAAATGGTTAGGAGTATGGACATGGGATGCAGCCTATCCCATCTCTCTAGTTCCTAAGGAGAGGCAATGTTGGAAGCTGTGTGGTCTTTGGCCAACATTAGCATCTCCTTACAGAATGAAAAGAGAAGGGGCTGCCAGAGCAATGCCTTTCAAACTTTAATGTACAGATCTTGTTCAAAGTTCAGATTTTGATACAGTGCGTTTGGAGCGGGACCTGAAATGCTGATACTGCTGATGGGCGGGCCAGACCTCACTTTGAAATAAAGGAAGTTCCCCCCACACTCTGATGCCTTTCCCCTAAGGGAAACTAGGCACATTCCACTTGGAACCACAGGGGGGCACCCGAGCTTACCAGATTACTTGAAAGCTGTTTAAACCTGGAGGCCTGGGCCCCAGTATTCCAAACACCCCCATACCATCCTTTGCCTGTGGTAGCAGGAGAAGTTCTCCTCCTGCGGCTGTTGTCTGCAGAAGATACGGCAGCAGGAGTGTACTGTGGGCGACACCCTTCAAGGCACCTCCCACTTTCCCTGGCAGGACTTGTGGGGTCCCTGCAGTGGAGGTACTAACCCCAGTACCTTCTGCCTGGCCACAGGTGAACCCTGTGAGCTGGGACCCAGAAGACAAAGTTCCAAGACACAGCAGAGGGGTAGAGATTCACAGGCCCTTGGGTTACCCAGCACCAATGATGGGAAGAGAAAACATAAAGGAGAGTCTCAGTGGTTTATGCTGAGGCACAAGTCGGGTGTGGGGTGCCCTTTGCCTTCTCTTTGCTTTTATTGGAAGGGAAGGGACACCCCACACCCCGCTTGTGCCTCAATAGAAGCCACCAAGATCCTTTCCATTAAAATGGTTTCTCTCAGCAGAAGTTAGGAACCATACAGACCAGAGACCACAGATCCCAGAACTTTACAACTTTTTGTTACCACTCTCACCAGGGATTAGCAACTACATCCTTAACATAAAAGGGCTTGTGAGATTGCTCGGGGGGCAAAAAAAAAGAGACTGTGTCTGATTCCTTGGGCAAGCGTGGAGATTAGGTAACCCCCAAACGATGGACAGTTGGGGGCAGCTACCCAAAGGACAGCTCTGGGCACACCACAGGAAAGAAGATATAGAATGGGCTAGGAGCCGGCATGGGCCTGAGAAGGATCAAGGACTGAACAAAGAAATCAGCAAGCGGGGTCAGAAAAGATCCCATCCCGGCCGGCCCCTGTACAGTGGTTGCTGACTGTAGGAGAGGGACGACACCACCAGTCTCTTGAGTTTCATTCCTAGTCCTCATCCATTCTCCATTAAGTGTATCACTTCTCCCGGTACCAAGTAAAAAGAGAACCCAGTTCTGGAAACTCTCAGAGAGAAAGGGCTTATAATATAACATCATAATTATGCTCCTTAACATTGACATAACACTTCAAATGCTTTATGCTCTCATATGAGCCCCACGTGCACCCTAGAATGAGACTGAGATATAAAGAAGTTAATTAACTCAAAAATTATTTGTTGAGCATCTACTCTGTGCGGAGGCAGTAGGGACATGGCATAAACAAGACAGACAGAATCCCTGTTTTATTCTGGTTACTTTTAGTTGGAGACTCTGACAATGAAAAGAGTAAATATGTAAGTAAATAGTTTTGGACAGTGATCAATGCTATAAGTATGACAGTGGTAAGAAAAGCCTGTCTGAGGAGATAACGCCAGAACTAAGAAGTCAATGACGGGGCCAGCCCAGCAGCGCAGCGGTTAAGTTCACGCGTTCTGCTTCGGCAGCCCAGGGTTCGTCGGTTCGGATCCCAGGTGCAGACAGGGCACCACTTGTCAAGCCATGCTGTGGCAGGCGTCCCACACATAAAGTAGAGGAAATGGACACAGATGTTAGCTCAGGGCCAGTCTTAGCGAAAAGAGGAGGATAGGCAGCAGATGTTAGCCCAGGGCTAATCTTCCCCAGAAAAAAAAAAAATTAGAAGAAGAAGTCAATGACAGCAGGGAAACAGCCACTTAAAGCTCTGAGGGAAAAATATTCCAGGCACAAGTTACTTCAAGTGCAAAGGCCCTGAGGCAGGATGACCTTGGATGTGAGGAAGTGCAAGAAGGCCAGAATGACCAGAGCATTGTGAGCAAGAGGGAAGCATGGTAGAGATGAGGTCAGATCACATGGCCTCTTGGGCCACAGCAAGATTTGGAGTGTATTCTAAATGCAGTGGGAGGGGCCAGCACTGTGGCCCAGTGGTTAAGTTCTCACGCACTGGTTTGGCGGCCCAGGGTTTCGCTGGTTCAGATTCCGGGCTCGGGCATGGCACCGCTGGTCAGGCCACACTGAGGCAGCGTCCCACATGCCACAACTAGAAGGACCCACAAATAAAAATATACAACTACGTACTGGGGAGATTTGGGGAGAAAAAGCAGGAAAAAGAAAAAAAAGATTGGCAATAGTTGTTAGCTCAGGTGCCAATCTTTAAAAAAATAAACAGATAAATAAATAAATAAATGCAATGGGAGGCCACTTAAAGGTTTTTAAGCGGGGGCATACGTGATCTGATTTATGATTTTAAAAGAATGTTCTGCACTTGTATGGAGAAGAGATTATTGAAGGGCAATACAGGAAGCAAGGAAACTAGTTAGGAAGCTATTTCCAGAGCCCAGGAGAAATGTGATGGTGGTGACCAGAGACTGTCACACATTGAGGTACATGGGGTAACTATTGAAGTTCAAAGCTGATTCAGCTTGAACTAACAAGCCTGACTTGAGGTCTATGAAACACACATGGTCCATCTGCTTAACCATTAAAGTAAAGAATGCACTCTCTTCAGATAGGAATGCAGACTTCCCCTCCTATGCCAGTATCTGTGATGCCCTATTGGTAACATCCGGATTAGTCCCTTTCCTGACATCAAGGTTGACCTGCTAATTTGCAACTGAATATCTCTTTGAAATTTTTTTTTTTAGGAAGATTAGCCCTGAGCTAACATCTGCGGCCAATCCTCCTCTTTTTGCTGAGGAAGACTGGCCCTGAGCTAACATCCGTGCCCATCTTCCTCTACTTCATATGTGGGACGCCTGCCACAGCCATTGGGCCGGCCCCCTCTTTGAAATTTTGATGGAACTGTATCCTGGGTGTGTTCAACGTATGTTCTTTGTTCTAAAAAGATATAAGACTGTACTGAAACTCAAGCTTCTCCGGAATGCCTTCTAAGCCCTCCCCGGGTTATAATCCTCACTCTGGGTCATAATAAACTCACTCCAATTTTGATTTATAGGTGAATTACAGATTATTTGCGTCAACAGTGGTTTGGTCCAGGGTGTTAGCAGCGGCGATGAAACGAGGTGGCCAGATTTGGGTGTGTATTAGATTTGGATTAAATGGAACTTGCAGGTGGACTGGATGTGGGGGACTGTTGAGACATGAGGAGTCAAGATAACTCCTAGGTTTTTAGTTTGAGCAACTGGGTAAATGGTGGTACCATTTACTGAGAAGGGGAAGATACAAGGAGACACAAGTGTGGGGAGGAGGATTTTTGGGCTGTGGATCTCGGCCTGGCTCACAGGAAGCTGTTACCTCTACCCAATCAGGCAAGTAGGGAATGGGAAGACTGCCACTGCAATTGTAACTCCGAGATTCTCCCACTGCAGCTGCTATGCCACTCAGGATGTCCCTGACCCACCGTCTCTGCTCCATACACTCAGGGAGCTAATGATTGGACACTGAAGGGTTGTTAGAAAAAACAAACATGACAAAACCAAGAAAACCACAACATCTCCAGGTCTGGGCTTGCAGAAACAACAGTCAAAAGCTTCTGCCTCGAAAATCTGCTTTGAGTGAACCTAACCAGCAGAGCTGACTTTGATTACAAAACCTCAGCTGCAAGGAAGTCTGGGTAATGTAGTTTTTAGGTGTCCTACCTCTGCAAACCAGGAAGACACGCTAGGAGGGGGAAGGAGGTTGAAACGAATGTTGAGCACCAGTCCACTCCATTCATAACAGAAAGTGTGTAATTCACTACCATTTCATTTCCATCGCACATGGTAACCCCCAGTCAATGCAAACTTCAAACAACCAATACTCTCAGAATCAGCGAAAATCTAACCTGGGGGCCTTGATTAGAAGCCAGAGTGGAATCCAATGGAAAACAGGAACCGGCATTATCTAACAACGGCAATTCCTGGTGGGAAAGAGGGAATTGGCCTTAGCAGGGAAGGACTGACCTCATCTGACCCAGAGGGATGGCTTTCCCACTCCGACTGAGCCCAGGGGTCCTAAAACCCCTTTACCTCTCCCCACCACGGCCACCTCTCCCAGCACCTGACCCCTCTCAGGAGGCAGCCTAGAGTAC